CTCACTCATTTCTGTTTCACATCAAAATGGTATTGTTTATCAATAGATTATTTGCTAATATAGAACAAGTCGATATACACTACTACAAGACAAATGTGATCTTGCTACTAACGTTAATTATAAGCTAATATTCAATTCGCAGATACATATGAGAAGATTGCAAGAAAAAGCAGGAGATTAAATGGTTTGATACAGCTTGAGCCACTTGACTTGGAGAAACGCATAGAGAAGTATGAAGAGAGACAAGAGTACACATATCACACGCTAGAAATTGAAGAGGACGAATCAGAAAAGCGTGCAAACCGCTTGTTTGCTATTGTGAAGTCAAGAATCGGCGAAACAAACAACCTACTAGCTTCAGAAGTAGCCGATAATTTATTGTTAGATTATCTTCAAGAAGATAATGTTGGGGTAAAAGAGGAGACATTAATGGTGAAGAAAGTAGAAGAGTGGGTACTAGGGAAACAAGAAGAGATGTTTATGAGTTGGGAAGTTAGAGAGAAGAGAGAGGTTTATGTGAAGGAAATGAAATGGGGTTGCATTCATGGAGATGGGAGAGAGTATGTGGTTGAAGATTTCGCTAATGGTTTTTTCACTTCCTTGGTGGATGAATTCATTTCCGACTTGGCTTCTTAATGAAAGTTTTGGGGGAATTAAGATTTTGACATTCTGCTAAAGATTAGATTTCACAATGCATGTATTGGATAAACGTTAGCTTAATAAAACTTATGTAGTTTGGCCTTAATGATTCGTATAAAAACCTATGTAACTCATGTTTGTTTTCCAATTTGGAGTCTAGGGTGAGAGTTAGAGTCTATAGTCGTCATGTGTTGTTTGTTTTTCCAACTCTTATATGAATTTGAGTTTGGACTCTCTATAGTTTATTTTCAATTTCGAAATCATTTTTTTTTTCAAATCCTACCTACAAAATCAAATCCTATAAATGTCAAGTCAAACCGATGGTGATGTACCTACGAAAAAAAACTCATCAATCATGTTTAGAAATTCATAATTTTGAATTCTCAAAATAGTGTGTCTCAAAAGCGCGCATTGCAACCTACTCGTCACTCTAGAAGACACACCATGACTCATGTTAACTCGTAGATCTGAGATGCTACACCATTGGTTCTGACTCGTATCTAGCTTGCTTGAGGTGTTGTGGAGCTTATATGATCTATCCCTCATGTGCTCGTGGGCTAGTGGTAAGGGGGAGGGAGGAAAAAGTTTTGTGCTTATCCATCTAAGTTCGAGCCCTGACAACTACAACACAAGCACATGGGAAGTTT